AATGGAATCCACCCGCGTGCCCAGAGATCAAGCTAACGAGTGAGGAATCAACGCAGTCATCCAACGAGAGCGGACTCGGACGAATCCGCGATGTCGAATCAAGATCAGTTCGAACTCAAACTCAAAAGCCGCATTTACTGCCTAATCGGGATCCAGGCTTCCAAATCAAAGATCCCGAAACAAATCAAAGCTTCACAACAGAAACCACCAACCGAATCACGGACAGAACGCCGGAAACAAGCGACACGAACAACACCGCCGGAGGGTGCTCGGCCGAAAACCGAACCATCTCAAAGCGTGGCTCGCCCAAGCCCGCAGCCACCCTAGGTGGCTCGGCCAAGGCCGAGCCACCTCAGGGAATGGCTCTTGGCCAAAGCCGAGCCACCCCAGGCCGTTGCTCGCAGCCGAGCCACCCCCTGGGGTGGCGCCGCAGCCAACCTCAGGTGGCTCGCGCATGATCCCACCACCTTGAGCGTGTCGCCGACGGCTTGGATGTTGGCCACACGTGCACACGGGCACGCGCACAGTGTGAGAGCCTATAAATAGGCCAAGGGCGTTGTTCATTTGAGCGGTTGGAATTTTCAAGATGCCAAAACTCTGCCCGTCGGATTGCAAGAGTGAACTCAGAGCTTTGAGACCTGAAACTTGCCACGTAACAGATCTGAATCCTCCGGCGAGCACCTCCTACTGTCAGAAAACCGAGGCAGGATTTCGGAGAGGATGACAAAAGAACAGATCTCAAGATCTGACACGATATCACTCCGGCATCTAAGCTTTCGGTCTTAGATCCCGAGATCTGAGCGCATTATTCCCTTGCGTGCGACTATCCCTCCCGGCTAATTATTCCTTTTCGTGGCAATAATACCCGTATAATCGATAGATCCGACCCGGACTTCTAACATCGCGCGTGGTCCACGGATTACCCCGGCGTCTGGCAAAGAACCCAACCAAAGCGAGAGCACCGCAAAAACAGAGATCTCGCCAACGATTCGTTCGACAAATAAGGCAAAGTTGTAATTTTTCGTTTTTTTTTTCTTCTTTGATTTAATTTTGTAACCGGATCTTAAAAAAACCGGC